CTGCTCCATGGTTCACCCCTGCCCTACGCTCCTTGAAAGCTACTAACCGGAGGCTTGAAAGACTCTACAAGAAAACCGGTCTCACCATCCATAAAGACTTATATTCTGCTCAGATTTCTCTCTACAAGGACTCCATCTCCCATGCCAAATCACAGTATTACTCCGGTCTCATCTCGTCCAACTCCAGCAACACTAAGACATTATTTTCCATCATGAACAGCATTTTTCAGCCTCCCGACTCCTTACCCATCCATCTTTACTCTTCAGAAACCTGTAACTCTCTTCTTCAGTTTTTTAATGATAAGGTCAATAGAATCCATCTCTCTTTACCTCATTCCTCCCCTCCCTCTCCTAATTTATTTGAACCCTCCATTCAGTTCTCCTCCTTTGAACTTCCCCATCCCTCAGAAATATTAGATTACATCACCAAATCCAAACCTTCCACCTGTCAACTTGACCCTATTCCAACAGTTTTAGTTAAATCCTGTCTTTCTTCTCTGCTCCCTTTTATAACAGCCATTATTCATTCCTCACTATCCTCTGGTACGGTCCCCTCCCTATTCAAATCCGCTTCAGTCAGCCCTATTCTAAAAAAACCTGGTTTAGATCCCAATGATTTCAATAACCTCCGTCCCATTTCCCATCTTCCCTTCATTTCCAAAGTCCTTGAGAAAACTGTTGCATCTCAGCTCCATTCCCATCTCACCCGCAACAACCTTTATGAACAGTTTCAGTCTGGCTTCCGTCCCCACCACAGCACAGAAACAGCTCTCATCAAGATCACTAACGACCTACTCATTGCTGCTGATTCTGGTTTAATCTCTATTCTCATTCTCCTCGATCTGAGTGCGGCCTTTGACACCATTTCTCATCCCATCCTCCTCAATAGACTCTCTTCCTTAGGCATCACTCACACCCCCCTCCGCTGGTTTCAATCTTACCTTACTGGCCGCACTCAGTTCATCCAGTTAAAATCCTTTACCTCAGAACCCTCCCCAGTCAAGTCAGGTGTGCCCCAGGGCTCTGTCCTGGGGCCCCTCCTCTTCAAAGTATATCTCCTCCCTATCGGCAAAATCTTCCGCAAATTCAATATCCAGTTTCACTGCTTTGCAGATGACACCCAGCTCTACATTTCCAGTAAGCTCAACTCAACTCTCCCACCATCCTCCCTTACACTCTGCCTCTCTGAAATCAAAGCATGGTTCACCTCTAATTTCCTCAAACTCAACAGCAATAAAACTGAACTTCTTCTAGTTGGCACTAAATCCACCCTCTCAAAATCTGACAGCTTTTCTTTAACTATTGACAGCGCCATAGTCTCCCCCTCCCCTCACGTCAAGAGTCTGGGTGTCATCCTCTACAGCTCACTTTCTTTTCAAACTCACATTAATAACATAATTCGGTCAGCATACTTCCATCTACGTTCCATAAACCGTCTCCGCCTCTCACTGACCCCTCACACTGCCGCCATTCTCGTCCACAGCCTCGTCACCTCCCGTATCGACTATTGCAATTCACTTCTTTGTGGTCTCCCCAACAAACTCCTTCATAAACTGCAAATGGTCCAGAATTCAGCAGCCCGTATTATCACCAGAAACCCCTCCTTTCACCACATCACCCCGGTTCTCCAGCAGCTTCACTGGCTCCCAGTTAAATTCAGGTCCATCTTCAAAATTCTCCTCCATACCTTCAAAGCAATCCACAACCTCTCCCCTCCATATATCTCAGACCTTATAAGTATTCACACCCCATCCCGTTCTCTCAGATCTTCTTCTTCCATCCATCTTGCGGTTCCTTCTGCCCGTCTCGCTACCATGGGGAGCAGAGCTTTCAGCCGCTCTGCTCCTCGTCTCTGGAACTCACTTCCCCCAGACATCAGGAACATCGACAGTTTTACCCTTTTCAAAACAAAACTCAAAACACATATGTTTAAATCTGCCTACAACCTTTGATTTTATTGAACTGTTTCTCTCAGTTTTTTTTCTTGTTTGGGTTTTATTATTGTTTTATTGTATTTTATTGCGTGTTTTCTGTCAAGTGACCTTGAGTGTTCTGAAAGGCACTTTTAAATAAAATGTATTATTATTATAATATGTGCAGATCACTGAGGACAGGCTTTGCTAAGAAAACTTGGCAGTGATAGCGTCTCTCTGACCAGTCAGAGGACATAAAACCCCTGACATCAGTGAGGTGATCCTGAAAGATGATTGGTTAAATAAACAGTTCCCCTGCTAAACAATATTTCATTTCATTAATACAGAACCATAAAGCTCATGATAAGAACAGATATAATGTTGTATATCATTAAAAGATAGACAAAAATTAAAAACAATCAAAACCATTAATAGAACGTTGTGATCGGCAGAAGCTTTTCCGGTTTGCGCCTCACTTTTTTAGAGCAGCGGCCCAAAACGATCACCTGACACATGGATTTTCTGCTTCCTGATCACGTGACGTGTGATGTACACGGATGAAGATCGGCTTTAGAGCTGGGATGTTTGTTCTCACGGAACGAGGCCTCGTTTCGACGCCCACACAGTAAAAAGATGATAAAGGCGTCTTTAGCCGTCATTGGCAATTGAGTTAAAAAATGGGACCACACAACTGTAATAATTTGTGTCTTGAACTTAAGGGCTGAGTACATTTTTATCCCTAGATTGTTGACAACTTTCTTTTCAAATGGTCCACGTCAGAGCCAGGGCCATCTCATCTACCAGCACTGAGAATTTTGACTTCAGTTTCAGTGTCATTCAGGAGTAAAAAGTTACAAGCCACAAAGGATCTAACATTTCTTAAACACCAGCCCCCTCGACGGAGTGGAAGACAGATCTGCCAGGCATCGGCGTAAAGATGGAATTTGAAACCATGCAGATGAAGGGGAAGTCCTAGGGGAAGAAGATATACCACAAACAGAAGGGGACCAAGGACAAAGCCTTGTGGCATGCCCCAGCAGTGTCCCACCCACAAAGATGAGGCTTCACTCATCCCAACACAGATGCTCCTGCCCATTGGAGGGCTGGTCCAGTGCTGCAGTATAACTAGAGAAGACCCACGCTATTGACTCAGAAGGCCCTTGGCAGATTAGACACTCCATGGAAACACACAGACTGAAATCTGATTGGACAAAACATTGAGATTCCACAGACATGTACAAGTCCTGCCATAGGATACGGAACCCACTGGCTCCAACGCAAATCTTGGGCGGGTTAAAAAACAGCAGGAAGGGAGATTTAGAGTGCACCAGAGGTAGCTAACGAGAATACTGCTGGAGATCATGACACTAAAAAAAGGAATAAAATTTAGATTGATAACAACAAAACAGTGCCAGGGTCAGTCAGAGAAACAAAACAATCCATAGAAACTTTATTTATAAGGGTTATGCAGGGTTAGGGTGGGGCTGCCAACTCTCGCACACTGTATCTGACTCACACCACATCTCTAATTTCCCCCACTGGAGAACAAACTTGTATTTGGTTTACCTGTCCTGGCATTTGAAGAAGACATGGTTGATCTGGTTGCCATAACATGCCAGAGCAGTTTTACTCATTCACCCATTTGCTTTGGTTCTGCCTGCATTTGAGGAAAAGCAAAAAGTCATCAGCCACCTGTAGAAACTTCACCAGTAAAACCAGATCGACAGGAGGCTTACATTTAATGAGACTCCTGTTTTATGTGTGTGCTTGGCTTTTGGGACAATGCGTGACACAAACACTGATTTAAAAAGAAATCAGAAAGATGATGTTTGTGTGGGAGGTGGGAGCGGGTTTCAGAAATAGTCCCTCACTGGACTCCACTCTGCAGACACCTGATGCCCGCCTACCTGTAGACCCACCTCTGTTGGCAGATCAGCTCCCAGGCTAAAGGAGCATGTTCCCACAACCATCTGAAGGACACAACCACTGGTGTCTGAGAGGAGAAACAGACCGAGTGGAGGACAGATATGGCTGTAGATCAGAGAGCTCGGGAGAGGAGTGGGTGGAAAACTTGCAGAAGTCATGGCAACGAGCACACAAGTGTCACAATCAAGTTTATTACCAGGTTCACACACACCAGGTCCCAGTGCACAAGTGTTTATAATAAAAACACAACAATACACATAACTAGCACAAAGGCAACAGAAAAAAGCTTGTGTGAAAATATGCAAACATGACAGTTAGACTGAAGTTAATAAAGACGTTCTGGGAGTTAAACAGTCCAGAAGCTGATAGGGAAAAATCCTCTAGTGATGGAAAGGATCCGATCCTCTCCGGGTTAGTGAGTCTTTGTCTCGAGGGGATGAGTTTAGATAAGGATGGGAGCGAGGCATGGACAGTAGTGATGAGGCTAATGTGGTGACATGTTGGATTTAATATGGAGGACTTTCATGTGTAGGTGGAGCCAGAACAGAGCCATGGGCTGTGTCTCAATTCAGGGTCTGCATCCTTCGAAGGACCCAGCCCACCCGGCCGACGTGGGCTGCGTCCTCCGTCGGCCGGGTAGACCGGATGTTAACGGCTGTGAATTTGGACAGGCCTAGCCTTCATGAACTCCCTGGCGAACGTTCCGTCGCCTAGCAACCGTGGAACCGCTGGGCAGAAGGGAGAAGGAACTTTAAACGACGGAGCTCAACGTTTTATTTAGCTTTTTAACCCCCAGAGACCCAAATTTAGAAAACAACTGCAAAATCTTTTTTTAACCTTTCACATGTTGTTCTAGGAGGCCAGATAAACGGGCCTATTTACACATTTTAACAGCCAATAGTGTTGCAGATCTGAACAATAGGACCTATTAGCAATGTAAATGTGGTTTTAAAAAGAAAAAAATGGGGAAGGTTTATTTTTGTGGACTTAAATCTGATGTTGTAATATTACAACCGTGGGTCTCTGGGGGTTAATCATTTCTTTGACTGTTGGAGAGCTAATTCAGAGAAAATACTTTCGACAAGCTGAGCCTGAGCAAAGATGTAATAGTTTTTAATACTTTCTAAGGGTCTTAATTTGACCATAACCGATTTATCACCTTTTAAGACTTTTCAAGACCCAGCGGATACCCTCTAGTAAACAATTCTCATTTGTAAACAAAAATAAAATTCAAGAGTTTAATGCAGAACTGATTTTATTTAGATATTTCTTTTATATGTACATGTTTAATCTTCCTTAACAATTTTTTTCTAGCAAAGTAAAAAGCTGTCAAAGTTCTTCCTTCTCTCCTGTGCCCTCTGCAGCCTCATGTCCTCCCAGATCAGCTCCAGAAGCTGGTCATCGCTGGCACCTTCCCCTGGATGCCCATTTTCTCCAGAATAGTCTTAACAAACATGTAAGAAAAAAAAACAGATAGAGAAAAGAGGACAACGGGTTATTCCTTTCATGTTTTCGCTGAAAAAATAAGCTCAAATGAGTTTTTTAAAATATGAGATGTTATTGTACCTCCATGCCACAGCCGCTGAATACTTTGCTCCGGTGATCATGTGGTCCATCTCCGCCCTAAGCTTAATAAATTCCCTGGTTTTCTCTTTTGTTCCTAAAATACAAACTTCTATTAAAATCAGGGGGAAAATGTAGCGGGAGAAGTACGACACAGAGCGGCCGAACATACGAGCCGAGACCGCAATACAAGCACTTTTACTGTAACATTTCAAACTAAAATAACGTTCATGTATCACAAAAAGTCCTTAACCTAACAGTTTTCAAGTTTATACTGACATTTATATGCGCAATCCTCTCCGACAGCTCCCGCTTCACTGTCCGCCATTGTTTTTAAGTTTTTCTGCCGGCTGGCCCAAAAGGCATCTTGGGAAATGCTACCTATTGAAGGATACACCGGACCCATCCTTCATTCAGGCGAAAAGAAGGCCGCATTCGTCGACCGCATTTGAAGGAGTCTTCGAATTGGGACAGGCCTAGTCGCGACGCTGTGACATAACCGGCCGACGAATCCGGCCGACGTAGGATGCAGACCCTGAATTGAGACACAGCCATGGAGTCTGCTGGGCTTTCATGGACCCATAGAGTGCTGCTACTGATAAATCTAATCAACACAGACCGGCTTTCTGACAGCAGCTGATTTCAAGTCTCTTTCTAACCATTTCATTAAGAATATTAAAATCTGGGGTCACTCATAGAGGGTAAAAGTTTCTGTCACCAATGGCAACAACAAGCAGTTAAGATGGCCACCAGAGTAGGGCTGGGCGATAAATCGATAGTTTTAAAATAACGGTATAATTTTTAATCCTCAGCCTCCCTGGAAAGGTCTACTCCAAGGTACTGGAGAGGAGGGTCCGATCGATAGTTGAATCTCAGATAGAGGAGGAGCAATGTGGTTTTCGTCCTGGCCGTGGAACTGTGGATCAGCTCTATACCCTTGCAAGGGTGATGGAGGGGGCATGGGAGTTTGCCCAACCAATCCACATGTGCTTTGTGGATTTGGAGAAGGCTTATGACCGTGTCCCCAGGGGCACCCTGTGGGGGACACTCCAGGAGTATGGGGTGGGTGGCTTTCTGTTAAGGGCCATTCAGTCCCTTTACCAGAGGAGCGTGAGTTTGGTCCGCATAGCCGGTAGTAAGTCGGACCTGTTCCCAGTGAGGGTTGGACTCCGCCAGGGCTGCCCTTTGTCACCGGTTCTGTTCATCACTTTTATGGACAGAATTTCTAGACGCAGCCGTGGTGTGGAGTGTGTCGAGTTTGGTGGCAGGAGAATCTCGTCTCTGCTTTTTGCGGATGATGTGGTCCTCCTAGCTTCATCCAGCTCTGACCTTCAGCTCTTGCTGGGTAGGTTCGCGGCCGAATGTGAAGCGGCTGGGATGAGGATCAGCACCTCCAAATCTGAGACCATGGTTCTCGACCGGAAAAGGGTGGCTTGCCACCTCCGGGTCGGGGGAGAGGTCCTACCTCAAGTGGAGGAGTTTAAGTATCTCGGGGTCTTGTTCACGAGTGAGGGTAGGAGGGATCGGGAGATCGACAGGCGGATTGGTTCGGCGTCTGCAGTGATGCGGACGCTGAGCCGATCTGTCGTGGGGAAGAGGGAGCTGAGCCAGAAAGCCAGGCTCTCGATTTACCGGTCGATCTACGTCCCAATCCTCACCTATGGTCATGAGCTTTGGGTAATGACCGAAAGAACGAGATCGCGGATACAAGCGGCCGAAATGAGTTTCCTCCGTAGGGTGGCCGGGCTCAGCCTTAGAGATAGGGTGAGGAGCTCGGACATTCGGGAGGGACTCGGAGTAGAACCGCTGCTCCTCCGGATCGAAAGGAGCCAGTTGAGGTGGTTTGGGCATCTGGTCAGGATGCCTCCTGGACGCCTCCCCGGGGAGGTGTTTCGGGCATGTCCTGCCGGCAGAAGGCCCCCGGGTCGACCCAGGACACGTTGGAGAGGTTACATCTCCAATCTGGTCCGGGAACGCCTTGGGGTCCTGCCGGAGGAGCTGGTGGACAAGGCCGGGGAGAGGACGGCCTGGAGCTCCCTAGTTGGGATGCTGCCCCCGTGACCCGGACCCGGATAAGCGGAGGAAGACGACGACGACGAATTTTTAAACAAGATACAAGATGACTTTACATCTTTATATCGATATAACTGGTCAAACTGCTATGCTAGCGATTAGCAGCTATGCTAGCGATTAGCAGCTATGCTAGCAACATGTTGGTCCGTCTCTAAGCGGCTATTACATGTATTCTCACAAGTTAGCTCGATCTGAGAGCCTCTGGGTAAATGGTGCAATGTCATGAAGGAGCTGTTCCACCGAAGGTTATTTACCCTCTCTCCTCAGGAAGAACTAATCTGCATGAGACTGCCTCAAGGTCAGGCATTTGCTTCTAAACTGTTTCTTCCTTTCTAGCTCAAGAGAAGAATGAAGACAAAGGATTCTTTCTTATAATAAATCAGAGAACTCTATTTTTAATAAAGCTAATCAAACAAAATGTTAGTCCAATAATAAAATGTGACCCAATCTGTGAAATGACAATGTTATGATCAAAAGTTTTTAATAAGTAATATAACTTTAAACTAGCTGTGCTAGACACTCTCATCCACGTAATGCTTAAAGTCACATGACACATTTCCTTTTTCTGATCCAATCAGAACCTTCCAGATCTGATGCGAGGTGTGGTTTTGTTGGTGTTTGGTAAATCCCCTCTTGTTGTCCTTTTTTTGATTCGACCGTAAATCAAAACATCCAAATTGCCCCTGGACGGGTCTGGGTGGGGGCCTGGGGGCTCGGGGTGTGGGGGTGGCCAGCCCCATGGGAGGATCTGGGCGGAGCCTTTGGGGTCGGGTCCTGACATGTATGCGGCCGGGTAGAAGGCAGGAACATGCAGCAGTGCCTGACTCGGGTTCAGGGGACTCAGGTAGACCTTGGCTCCTCTGCTGTCCCATCACAGGGGAGGGGGAAGTCCAGGAGGGGGAGGACCCAACCTTACCTGGATGTCCTATGTCTTTTATAATCCGGAAGTTGTGCAAATGCAGGGATGGGCGTAGATATTCTGCTGGGGTGGGGCTGGGTTGGTGCCCTCTGACTCCATGAGGCTCTGTGATGCTGCTGCTTTGGGCCCTGGCAAGATGGGCTGGGGTCTCCATGCTCTGGGTGGCATTTTGACAACAGAGGTGCCTTTTGGGGCCAGTGGGGGAGCTGGCTCCCTGGAGGGCTAAGCCCAACCAGCCATTCCTCCCTATCCCCACAAATTTCTCTCCTCCTGCTCCCTCACATCATCACACAAACATGCACATAGGACCTTGGGGGGTGGACAAGTCAGGGAGTGCGGGTATGGATCCCATTTCTGCATTCCTGTAGCAACCTGCCCCCCAATTTTATTTGCACCTTAAACACTTCCACCAACGACGTTCCACACAAACACACACTTAGGGCCTTGGGAGTGAGCACATTCAACGGCATTTGGCAAGGGGATATCTCAGCCTCCTCCCAACTGCCGGTGCTCACTTCCAATTTTAAACTGCACTTAGACACTGAGGGCTGTGGGTGCAAGTGGGGTGGTGTGGTGGCATCAGCTGGCATAGGCCAGACGATGCCCGCACTGCCCGCTCACCACAGCCATGGAATACACCTCATCAACACTCACTAACACCATATTGGAGCAGGCGGAGGGTGACTAGGGGTCTTAGCACACCTCTGTTGTCGCTTGGCTTCCTGGGGCTGGAGGCTAGGAGGGAGATCTGGCCATCCGGTTTGGGTCTGGGGTGGTGGGTTGCTGTGCTCAGCATTGGGCGGGGGAGCCTGCTCATCAGCACCCCAGCAGAAAGGGTCGAACTCTGGGAACCGGTGATGGTTGTACCCCATGTGCAGGAGTACTGGGACCAGAGTGAATAGGGTGTGTATGGGGAGCATGAGTGGGTGTCCGGCGTGCATTTTTGTAAGTCTTTGGTTGTATGTGCATGTGTGAGCATGAGGGAGGGAGTGTGTGACTGTGTTTGTGTGGCCCGGGTCGCTGGGTCCCAGGCTCGGCCAGCTAGGGGGTGGGAGGCTGCGGGCGGGCCTGTGGGCTTGCGCCAGTATCTCCCGGGACTCTGCCGGCTGCTGGTTGTGGCCCCCACGGGGCGATCCTCTTCGTCTCTCGAGGGGGGCTGGGGCTTTTCTTTTCACAGTCTCCCTGGGGTTCCTGTGCTCCGGGACAGCTCCTGGATCCCTGGGACTTGGAGCTCCCTCCGTCTCCTGCACATCTTAAAGGGGCAGATCTTTGGCCCCTCACACTCTCTATTGGACGCTCCTATTGAGAAACCATACATAAACAAACGCGTGTACAGACACAGGTGCTCACATGGTGCTCTCATAAGTATGGACTTGGGCACGTTCAACACAGGTCTTAAGGCTATGGTGGGCACTTAATGCACTGTGATTTATTATCGTGTAATTGTTCAGCTAAACAATGTTGATTATATATTTCTTCATCAAGTTGACGCAGTGATAGCTTTCTCTTGTATTGTTGTTGTGTCACTTTTTTTGTTTGTTTTTTGTTTTTTTCTTCTTCTCTCTTTCTGCAGGTCTAGATGCAGACTCTTGTTCATTATTGTTTATTTTTTTGGACCCCCCCCCCCCCCCCCCCTCCCCCCCACACACACCTTTTGTTCTCTTTCACCTCTGTCTCCGTGTCTGGTCGGAATTACAAAGCATTCAGAAACAATAACAATAAAGTTTTAAGTATCAGTCGTGACATTAAAAGCAGACACTTTGATGCTCCACCTGAGAGTAAATCTGTAAGGCTTGTCTCCAGCATTCAGACATCAATTCTGTTTGATTCACAGCCAGACAGGACACGGGGGAAAAAAATCCAAATTAAAGTTATCAGAGTGGCCAATCTGTAACTTTCCTCTTCAGCCAAAAGAACCTAACGACAAACTGGATTAAATCTGTTGCATGTTCCACCTGCTACAACGGTTCCTTTCAGAATAAAAGCTGAACATCATGACCCCGTTTTGGATCTCGCTAGATGCCAATAAACTGTCGTGACCTGGGAGTATCCCAAGACTGGTTATGTTTATAATTTCTCAAGACTGCTTGAAGTGAGTTAACTTGTAAATATTTTACAGGAGGAAAAATATCGAGATACATATTGTATATCGGAATTCAGCTAAAAGATAAAGATATAAGTTTTGGTCCATATCGCCCAGCGCTACACCAGAGTATAACAGGAATGGCAGATGAGTGACTAGACCTTCAGTAAAGTGCTGCTAGCCAAGGGCGTCAGTTTGTTTTCAGAATTGCTGGGGACAATAGCCATACACTTGAGTGGGGCTTAAAAATTGCTGGGGACAATAAAGTAGGCTAGCACAGGGGTCGGCAACCCGCGGCTCTGGAGCCGCATGCGGCTCTCGGTGCTTGTAAAATAAAGAATGGATATTTAAATAAAATGCTTTATATTTTACTGCATTAATTTTACATCTGTATGCCAATT